CTTGTCATTGTCAGTAATTTGCGTTCCTAATTTGTATGAAAATACAGACAAACATCTAATTTGAACCAGTGCTGCATTCAACATACCACATTACACACAAAAATCAATGTCTGTTTTTTTTAATATTTACTTTTAAATTAAGAAATTAAATAATATATAATACTAAAATCTGAATTATAATCTAGTTTGATACCAAATTTACTGACACAAGTTCATAAAATAGTAGTTCAATAAAATTTTGAATGTGAGTCAACAAACGTGATGACATGGCCTGTGACCCATCTGGAGAAGGTAAATAAATTTGAAAATGTAAAAAATTTAATACCGATTATAATTGCAGTCAAGTGCCAAATTCTTAAGGTTTTTTAGCTCAACTAATTGCTTTTATTTCCTCCTTAGAATGTACACATTAATTTTATTCAAACACATAAGTAACTAAAGAAGAAATTAGTTGTCATAATAATAGTTACATTTGGGAGTTATCTTTGTAATGAATATACAAATAGAAATTTTCAAACAAACCTTTGAAATTGTGTGACTATCTGTGTTTGTAATTACCTTTGATAGAATTTGCAAATTGTATTTTTTTTTGTGTGTATCAAGCTGTCGGTCATGATAGGATTGGATGTAACTCTTATTCCCATACGAATCCTAAATGGACCTAACTAAACCTCCTGTAGGGAGAGATATAGATAACTTAAAAAGGAGACAAAACACAGTTAATTAGAATCATATTTTGTGTGGGATATTTGAAAGCTCTTGTTTTATGTTGATCATTTTAAAAGTGGATGAAATATCACTTACAGTTACATATAATATAAATCTGTGTTACTTGAGAGTCCTGTGTTTTCTTTGGTTAAATACAGTTGTTTGTGTTAAAATAAAGTATGTTAATGTTCTCTGGTGGGATTTGAGGGTTGGATGGAGATCAACTCCTTTACCTTTCATGTTTATTACTAGTTGTAGCAAATTTGATTAATGTGTGCTGTAAAAAAAAGAGAGTTCATTTTACTTTGTTTAAGCTAGTGTTTTAAGAAACATGATTCTGATTACCTAAGAAGGAAAAACGATTTTCATATGAAGATTATTAATTCAACTGTGTGTGTATGTATGACAATAAGTTGACAACCTGAACCTATAATGGTAATGCCATATATATATATAAATAACTTTAATGCTATCAGTTACATTAATTGTCAATAGGTGATTAGATCAACACTATAAAACAGTAATGATTTTAATATAAAACAAATATTACAATACAACTAAAATTAATCAATTATTTTCCATTATCAGTCCTAGTTGTCAACATTAAGTCATAATTGATAATGTCTGTGTTCATAGCACCCAAGAGAAAGTGAGGAGATTGGAATTTTAAGAACTATTTAAGGTAGGGTTTTTACTTCTGTTTAGCATCATTTTGTAAATAAAAGGGTGGATGTTGGGTTTTTAACTTTTATTTCTACTTTAAGGTTCTATCTAGCCGTAGACAGCAAAAGGCAGTAGGAGTTGAGACATTGTGGGAGTAAGTACTCAACATCTAACCCTTAACTGATTTTCCCTAACTGCTGGCTAGTTTAACATCAGTGTCTGGATTTTTTCTCATAGATGGAATATCTGCAATACATTTGGGTGCCGTGACCACAGACATTATGACTTATGTTGACAACTAGGACTGCTAATGGAAAATAATTTGAAAGTAATAATCATATTTAGAACCTTTTTTTAATGTATGTGTTTCTGTATGTTTTTCATAACAGATAGAGATGCAGTGGAACGACGATTATTTTTGATTCACAGACAAAGCCACATGGATGCTTATGACAGTGTCTGATATCAGCTTATTTTCTCTGGCCAGTCAATTGAACAAGCCTGTATTTTTATGTCTGAATCCTCAACTAATCCTCCTGATATGTATCACAAACTCTAAAAACGTGTAGTGGTGACATTACTGGTCAGTATTTAGCTCCATTACAGTTTAATGACTCAAGTCAAAGCTGTAGACTATGAAGCATGAATTACCAAATTAAAGCTGAGTCACAGCAGATGTGCTAGTCATGAATTCTTACTCTTGTGTTTTTCTTATGAAAGAACAGGGACTTAGGTATTAATATATAGCAGCATTTTTCAGTGTTTGGTCTTTACATATTCTTACTCTGAAGTTTAATACTACTACAAGTAAGAATACAACTGTATCAATTCATTTTCATAATTCATATATCAAATGTAGGTCAGCATATATAGTTGGATTGAAAGTTATAACAAGATAGTGTATGTGCCCATGTGTGTGTGTGATACTTCTGGTTCAGTTCAAACAGCAAGTATGAGTTGCATAGTTTTTTGGTTATGTAATGTAAGTTAGAGCATAATGTGAAATAGTCATAACTTAAGTATGTCATGCTTATAAATTCTCTTACAAGATAAAGACTGATTATTAGGATATTGTGGTGTTGTAGAAGTATACAGGTATGTGTGAGTCTCTACAAAATTGTATATTCTGAAAGTAATATGTTACTAAATAAATAGCATAGATGAATTTTGTTCTTTTAGATAGGTGACCAATTATTGTATACTTTCTTATAGTGTAGTGGTAAACATCCAGATTCTAATGTAATAAAACCCTTGCTATAACAGTTGGTTTTGACTGGATCTGTTTTTTAATTTTATGATGTAATGCTTTGGTGATAGCCGTTACATTTAATGTTGTTTAAGAAAACGTGGATATTGTGTTTGTTAATTTAAAATATTGCAAGGAAGTTTCTGTTTTTATATTTACCAATATTTAATTACCAGATTTAAAGAAAGTTGCCCTTAAAGTTAAGGAGCAGTTTGTAATATGTTGAATTACAAATAGAACCGATACACCTGCTGGGCTACATGAGTTATGGTAAGAAATGGTATTGTAAAAAACGAATATTTTATTAGTTAGGTTATATGTTTGTTTTACACAATAATAACAGATCAGTAAAAAGTAAATCTACATTCCGTGCAAATCACTGAAGTAGCAAGTCATATTACTTATGAATGTACTTTTATAAATATCACAAGAATGGAAATTTGAAAAGGAAATAGACTGAAAATTAAAACAGTTGAAAGTTTATTTAAAATATTAAAAAAAAAATAGTTTTAAGTATGTGTGGTGGGGAGGGGTAGTATGAGTATGAATATATTAAAATTGTACTTATTAAACTACTATTATGACCAATTACTTATTTGAACATTATTGGTCCTTATATTTGTTTAGGTTTTGTTTTTAATGAAAAATGTTTACAACTGAGAAATAAGTGTTATTAGTTTAAAACTTTTTCATGACTTCTTCATGCATAATTGCCCTAAAATATTTTTTATACTGTGTAGTGAAGACTATTAGTACTTATTATTATGATGTTTTTCACCGTTATTTGTCACCAGTAGTTATTTTAGTATTAGGCAATGACTGGAATTTAGGATGACCTAAACCTTTTTCTAGTTCACTGGCTAAAAAGTAGTTATATCTAATGGCTCTATATTGAAGCACTTGAAAAATATTACATTTATTAAAAGATTAAAACATTTTTATCAAAAGCATGTGGTTATAATTATCAATTCCTGTTCCAGTTTATTTAGTTAATATATTGTGTATCTATGTGTGTGTGTGTGATTAAATAAACCTCAAGAAAAAGATAAGCAGACTGGAACTAATGAAAGTGGCTGTTAGCTTAACTTCTTTCATTACTTGATTATGTGCTACTGAACTAATATGATCCCCTATTTTCGTCTCTCTCTTTATGAAATGGAACAAATAGCTACCAGCAACAACCAGAGAGCCTGGAATGCATGAAAATATTATTAATGTTTAAATATGTACAATCATATTGTCACAAAGATAGAACTTGTGCAACAAAGTGATATAATGTTAAAATAAGAGTCTAATGAGATTTCATGTTTACTCAATATTATGCAGATTTTCTAATCAAACTGCAATTATGAATATAGAATGCAGATTAGCAACTAATAAATCTATTCTGACTGAAAAAAACCACAATGAACAATGTTCCACAATATTACTTGTAATAAATAAAGTGTGTTGTAAATGCCAATGCATGATTGTTGTACACAAAAATAAATGCATGTAACAAAACACAATGGATAGAAAGAATCAAACCAACCACCACCATGTATACATTTAATGCAAAAGATTGGCACTTATGTGCTGTGTAAACTTTATGTTCAAAAAGTCTAGTGTAAAGTTTGGGCTAACATGTTGACAGTTAAGCCTCCAAGGTAATTATGTTTGTAATTAGGACTTTTTTTTCTAAGCATTAACTCTGGTGTTTGGTCATACCTTGCTTTTTTGTCAACATAAGAATATATGGATACATTGGGTCATTTATTAAAACAATTAGCCTAAAGGTTTATGATTGACTTTGTGTAAGTATGGAGAATTGTGTATCTAAAATTAGTTTAAATATTCTAAGTAGCTAGGGGTTTAATGGAGTATGACAGGAAAGCAACAACTTAAAAAAGCATGTTGGCTGGAACTTTCTTTAGTAACAGTTATTAGTTCGCTAATTTTGTTTATCTTTTATCAATTTATATTTTATGTCTGCTACTGGATTATTGTGAAATGAAAAATATAGCCTATTTTCCAATATTTCACAGTAATTAATTTTACTTAAACTTTTCTATTTTGTGTGTGTATAGATAAACTGAATTGTGAACTGCATATTGGACTTTGAATTTTCATGAGGAACTTGAGTGTGACTAGTGTCAGTAGCAGATATTGAAATGTGTATATTTATATGAACATAACTGACGTTTTTATCTGGTTTTAAAATATTGTACTTGCAGTTTTCATTGATAAATATCAATTTATTTACAGTGAGTAAAAGTAACATACATTTTCTAATGATCATTTTGAATATGTATGAATTTTGTTTAACAATACTTTTTTTGCATTATTTAACCAATTCCATAATCTGTTCATATGTTTCTTAAATTTTTATTCTTTGTGATTGGTGAACATATTATTTTTATACATTATTCTGTGGAACAAAAAATGTTGTAGATAATTTTACATTTTATTCAAATTGCTATAGCTTTATTTTAAGGAAAAATAAATTTATTAAACATGTTCAATATACATCAGAGGTTTTTTTAAGATTATTACCAATTACAGTTCAAATATTAATTTTACTCTATTAAAGGGATCTTGATTTTTTTTCTTCTTAGTAAAAACAGTATGAAATAAAAATAAGATTATTACTTAAAGCTGGAAGTTTATGTACGTATAAATAAAAGATGAAATAGAGAACCTTTGTCTCAATAAATGGAGAAACTATTGTGTTCTTCTAACTAATATTTATGTGTAATGTTGAAAAAATGAGGATACTGAGTTTTAAATGGATATTTTCATCATTTGCCTGGCTGAAATTTGTATATGTGAATACAGAATAACTAGGATAAACCATGTATATGTTGGTAAAATGTGAACAGATAACTAAGCCTAAGTTAAGCTGTTTATAGTTGTAGTTGTGGGCATTGTAATATCTAATGTTTTTTGCATAAAGTTATATACATATTTAAGTGTTAGTTTTGGCTAATCTTACTTGAAATGTTAAACATTACACTAAAAACTATATAGAGAATGTGTATAGTAATTACTATAGATGCTACTGATGTGTTCTTCTAGTTTTAGGTCATAGTTTGTAATGCTGTTTGTATAATACATGCTTCTAATAATCAAATAATATTGGAATTACTTGAATTGACGACATTTGATAAGCTTACTTAACGTGAAGCAGGCGCCTGCAAGTACCTCTTTTTTCTTTTTAGTAACATTTATATACTTTAGCTATGTTACGTTTCTTTCTAAAAATCATTCAAACCAATGTTAGTCTTGTACAATAATCCAAGCTGAATATTAGCACAGGGAAGTCATCCTCTACTCATGCATGAATTTCCACTTGTGTCATATTCTGTCACAATTATGTATATTTCTGGGCCCAACTGTCTTTATAAAACTATGCTGTCTCAATAAAATGATTTTTTAATTTTAATATACGAGACTTTCTTGTTGCTACTACCCCAAAGTATATTAATTTATGTCAAATATTATATTTCCTTATGTCATTTTGTTTTAACCTTGCACCTATGTGTTTAGTATTCAATTATTATGTTCTTCATTTTAATATACTTTAGTTTTTTATTGTTTGTCTGCTGGTTCAGGGTTACAATGTAATAGGCTGTCAAACTAATGACTGTTCCATTATTTGTTTCATATTTCAGTACTATATTAGACTTCTTCATGATGAACTCTATTAAAAATACATTTCTGGAAAGTTGAAAGAATGGTATTAACTATGTGTTGCACTTACCAGCATAAAGCCTTTCTGGAATGCATTCATGAATGTTGGAGGCACTATTTTTACAATGTGTTGCGTTTCATTCTAGCAAACAGCTTTCCTGGAAATCAGTTCTAGAAGACTGAAAGTCTATGATTTGTACAATGTGTTAATATTTGCATGACAACACAGAGCTTTCCTGGAAATCAGTTCTGGAAGATTGAATGTGTTAATACTTATGCTACAGTAGAAAGCTTTCCTGGAATTTAGTTCTGGAAGACTGAAATTAATATAATGTATTAACATTTAGATATAAAACTTTTATGGAATGCATACTGACTACCCAGAGCATATGTGATGGTTTTAAATACACGTTTCACTGTCATTATTTTATGACAAAACAACTTAAATATAGAATTTACATCCTCATTTATCTCATGCCTACAGAACTAGAAGATGTTTTTTTTGTATTATAATATCTTAATCTTGGTTGGTATTGAAACTCAAGTATATGATACAATAATTGACAATTAGTGTCTGCTGTGATATTATGGCTGTTTTTTTATGCTAAGTATGATTGGACTAAAACAATAAAATAGTATCTAAGAATAGTATCTCTAAATGAATCAGTTAACACCACAGAACCACTGTGCAATATGGAACACATTGTTAGCTGCATCAAAGCTGTCTATACCATTGCCTCAGAACACTGTTGACTCTTAATCAAGAGTAAATCAATTTTTTTTTCTTGCTTGACTAAAATTATCACTTTTCCTGGGCTTAAAGCTATAGAGTTTGTCATTCCCTGAGAAATCATTGAATGATATATTTTGAAATAAAAAACTTTTTTTTGTTAAGATAGTCATTAACTAGTTTGAGCATTAAAAACCATAGCCAAGTAAATACTCAAATAGACTTGAAATGTTTAATGGCCATTTTTTGTGCCGTGAATGAAAGAAATTGTTAAAAAAAGAAAAGAAGTTGTATTTCTAATGGTGTTCTTTAATTTTTCTGTGATCTAAAGTCAATGCAGAACTGAAGTATTTATTACATTCAGGTAGTTTTTGTTTTATGTGATTGCTCTTGCTGAAGAACTACTTACCCTAACAGTGATAGAATATATGGGAAGGCAGAAGGCATTTATCCAACATGACACCTGTTTCAAAGCAAAATGTAATGAGAAAAATGTCATGCTTAGTTATATTTTTACACAATATTATTTAATGTTTTTGCACTACCAGTGTTCCGATACTACAATTTCCAAGAATACATGTTGTTGGAGTGACTTTGGTTTTTCATTAATTGGGAAAGACTGGTTATAATATATTAAGATTAAGGTACAAGTATTAAAAAGCAACTCATTTTATATAGATTGGATATAATTTGTAAATAATTAACCCTTGCAGACTGGTTAGTAGGTGTAATGATATAATATTTAAAGAAGCAACCCTTGCAACCTGGTTAGTAGGTGTTATGTAATATTTAAAGAAACCCTTGCATCCTGGATAGTAGGTGTAATGATATAATATTTAAAGAAGCAACCATTGCAGCCTGGTTAGTAGGTGTTATGTAATATTTAAAGAAGAAACCCTTGCATCCTAGATAGTAGGTGTAATGATATAATATTTAAAGAAGCAACCATTGCAGCCTGGTTAATAGATGTTATGTAATATTTAAAGAAGAAACCCTTGCATCCTAGATAGTAGGTGTAATGATATAATATTTAAAGAAGCAACCATTGCAGCCTGGTTAGTAGGTGTTATGATATAATATTTAAAGAAGAAACCCTTCAAATTGCATGCCTTAGCAAAGATGTTGTTGAGGAAATAATTGTCAGATGAGTATCTTGTTGTCTTGCTTTATTGAAAGTTTCCTAGTAAAGAATAAAACCATATTTACTTTAGATAACACATTTAACAATTAATTTAAATGCATACTTTGTGGATAGAAATTTACAAGTGTTGTCTTAATGGGTGAATGATGGAAATTATAAATAGATTGTAAGGATACTGTTTAATTTTTATTTTAAAATCCAATTTTTTATTAAAAAGAATCAAATAAATTTGTGTGATTCTGTTATAAGTATGTTTATTTTATATCAGATTACTTAGATTTTATTATATATGCTTTACAGTATGAATGAGTTGTTATATATATTATTTATACCACATAGTTGTTTTTGTAGAATTTGTTTTCCAGTAAAGTTATTCATGTCATGACTTAATGTTTCATACAACATGAGTAACATAATTGAAGCACCGACAACTATGAAGAAATTGGCAACAGATATAGTTGTGTTTTCCAAAACAAATGTGATCTGAAATTCTGTATGATGTTAGATGAAAAGGCAGTTTTAGAAACTTCATAGAGAGCATAAATTTGAATGTTGTTTAATAAAAAAATAATCATTTAGCAGATAGTGATAGATTGTAATTAGAATACTACTACTTTATTATTCCTTATAATTTGATTATTTATAATATTCTCCATCATTTTACAAACTCCATATATTACTCAATAGGAAAAGCTTTGATTTTGTTGTAAATAGTGTAAATATTGATGACAGTTCCAAAGTTTCTGTGTCATCTTTGATGTTGTGCAAGTTTACCAAGCAAATGTAATCTCCTTGGATAAACTGTATATACTGATAAGAACCGCATTGTCTATGAGTAATAGCTGTATAATTTTTGTCACATTGTCTATGAGTAATAGCTGTATAATTTTTGTGTGAGTGTTTGTGATTTAACATCATATTCCTATCGAAAGAATGAACAAATAAACTGTACACCTTCTCTGTTAGTAGTTTAATAAAGAAAACACGCTAATAAAGTTCTGTCTCATTTCATATAATCCAGACAAGGTATTTTTTTGTTGTTGTTCTTTTGTAAGTGAGTGGCTGTCAGATCAATGGTACTACCCTTTTTCTTGGTGATCACATTGTCCCAGATGTTAACAGATTTATCAATATAACTCTATATAAAGAGCACTTTGCTACAATAAAAGTTAACGAGAGCTCTCTCTTGATTGAAGAAAGACCGATACAAGTAAGGGAAAAAATTACCAGGTTTAACACTTGTGAAAAACATACTTAGACATCGTGAGGAAACGGGTGTAAATAGAACTGTGTTTAAAATAGATTTGATATTTTTTGAACGGTTTCTTTCATGGAGCTGTTTTTAGGTTAGCTGTTATGTAACATTCAGAATAACGTTGTTATTATGTACACTACAACTTTATTACAAAAGCATTATCATATTTCATAAGAAATGTTTCTAGAGGCCCGTACTAATCTTGGAATTACTACTTTCATCTTCAGAAGTACCCAGTATTATTACCATGATTATGCACTATTGCCAGACACTACAACTTCCATTGTGTGATTTCAGAGCTTGTTACTCTTTTAAAGGCTCTACACTTTGAGGTTTTCCCATCATAAAGAACATTGATGACTCACTTCATAGAAATGTTGTGTATTTGGGCTTTATATCTTTAGAAAATGTTACTGTGAAAATGATCAGGATTACACCATGAATCAAACATTTTAGCACTAATCATTTTGCCAGTGGCACTATGGCATGTTTATAAAGTGATGTGCCATTGTATATCGTTCTTATAAAATATGATAAACCAACTGTATAACTGTTGTAGCAACAAAGATAAAATAAAACGTAAAACACAGAATCGCAACAATTGAGATAAAATTAATAAAGTTACTTATAAAGACAAGCCAATTTCGTTAGCTAGATATACGTGTATAACAATTTTATAAATGTCGTGGAGCATAAAGCATATTAAATTACGTTACATTGTTTAAGAGGGTATTTACGACTGCGATTCGCTTTGAAACCTTTATGTAATTCATTGGGGTCCATGTCATGTTTATTGGAATACAGTTTTGATTTAGATCTTCATGTGTACAACTTCTTTGAAATCTAATTGTCATGAGTGGTATTCTCAGAATAACGGGAGGTTCGACCATGAAATATATTACGGAGTAATTCTAAATTCCCAAATTTTGACTGAGTCATTAAAAAGAAATAGACTGGACACAATGTGAAGCAATCTTTGTTTTTCTCAAAACACGTCCACGAAGGACAAAAATGTTGAAGTTAATCAAACGTAGCATTGTGGTATTCCTGATTCAGAGGAATAATGGCTCACGTGTGGGCTACCTCTGATAACAAGAAGTTCGAAGATTTAGCTAGATGGAATGTTAATGTGAGAACAAGTGCAGGAGAAAGAGAGAGAAGAAACCAAGTTTTACAAACTTTAAGCACTGTTTATTTAATTTCGATGACGAGGAACCCACTTTGAGACTTCGTTTACTATCTCAAAGTGTGAATGGTGTTCTACGGAATAAACTGGTTTTATTTGAAAATACTGAGTAATAAGGTGCGTGGAAATCTTAATTTCTTGTTCTCCCACAAGCCCGTATTACCTGTTGTTCACAGATTGTCTTTGATGGTAGATAGAGGTGGAAACATTAAAGCCGACAGTATTATTAATATTAGCATTATTACACTGATGTGACGGCATAAAAAAAACCACGTGACCTTTTACTCCAGCAAAAACTTAACTAATGATGACGAGAAACTCACAAGTAAAAATGTATAGCAGAGATGGTTGGTATGGGTATTAAAAACTTTAATTAAAATAAAGTATCAGAACAACGTCTTTGTTAACCTCAAGATGACGTAAGAAGGTCGAAACGATGTTCTTATACTTTATTTTAATCAGTTTTTAATTCCCATACCAGCCGTTCAGGCAGCTAAAACCCGTACTGTTTCTATGATTAATCTGTTATCCAGTCAATATGTTTTCTAGTATATCATTTTACAATTTCAGGTGAGTTTTCTAGCAAAGTCATCTTCCACAATGTCATCTGAAGGTCAAACGGGAAGTATTACTGAAACTACCTTTCCTCAGACAGGTGATGATGAAAAAGCGGGATCTCTGAGGACATCTGGCGGGAAAGAAAAATGCCAAGCCAAAGCTTCGAAAAGAAAACTACTGAAGACGTTGAGTCGCAAAGGTACAAAAAGTTTGCAGGACTTGATCAAGTGTTCCATCTGCCTGGATCGACTGTATATCCCTAAGATGCTACCTTGTCAGCATACTTTCTGCCTTCTCTGTATTCAGAACTGTATTGTTGGTTCTGGTGACGCCGCTAAAATACGCTGTGCACAGTGTCGATCAGAGAACTCTCTGCCAAAAGAGGGAGTTTCTGTCCTTCCAGGAAACATCTATCTACAGTCCATACTGGACCTACTCGAGACAGACTACGCTACAGTTGATGACTTCGTTCAATGCTCAAACTGTCAGACCATCTGTTACGCTAATGTCTGTGAACATTGCAATAACAGTTTTTGTCCAGTATGTCAAGAGCGCCATCTGGACGAATTAAAGAAACAATTGAGCCAAATTGCTGATCAACTAGAGATGATGACAGATAAACTTGAGAAGCGTATGGGATTTTTTCAGGTGTGGTAACTGTTTTCTTTCATTTAGATTGACCACCCTTGGTCTCTGTAACGCACTTTATTTCCTTTATAACGAAACGTTAATATTAATTAGTTTAAACTACAGAAACTTACGTTACGTTTCTTGTCAACTTGCTTGAAACATGTCACAGAATCAATATAAAATACGATGATTTTATAGGATAAATTCTTCCTCTTTGCCTCCTCCACGTTAGAAGCACAAACGTGGCCTATCAGACGGAGGATCGGAAAATCTCAGGTTCGAGACGTGTTGCTATCAAACATTATTTTCTCTTTCAGCTGTGTGTGTGTGTTATAAGAATGACAGTAAACTCTGCTATTCGACTAAGAATAATCTCTTCATGCTGTACTTCTGGTCCTAAATTAAAAATTAGGATTTGCTGTGCCTAGTTCAATGTGTACATAAAGTGTCATTCAGATGAATACAAAAAAATATACACATAAGAATACTAGGCTTGAGATCGCTTGTTTCTTGTAAAGCACAAAGCTACACAATAGGCTATCCGTGCTCTACCCTCTACGGGTATCGAAACTCGATTTTTAGCGTCATAAACCTTCATATTTACTACGGAGCTACTTGAGGGGGGGGGGGCAAAGCTTTTGACACTTGGATGGAATCAAGTCTAATTCCAAGTTTCATCAAGCGCTTGTTAGTGAAGCTTTTTACAGTGTTGTAGTAAGATGATAAATAATATATTAAGAAGTGACCCAGCTTTCTTTATTTTTAGTCACTAGTTCTAGACCCAAGTACCAGTTTTATTATTCAAAGCCTTAGTTACAAATTTAAATCTTAATATTACCTAAGTATATACCTCTAATTCCGAAACAAAATCTAGTATTTTAATACACAATCTACGATACTAGACTTTCCACTAAATCAAGAATACTAGACTCCCCACCAAGTAGCGAATACTAGACCCCTTAACTAAGTCTCGGTTACTATACCTCCCTCCTTCCCTCGAATCTTGTAATACTAGATCTCCCCCGCAAATGAACAGGGACCTTATTTCAGTTCTTGATACTGGATCTCCCCCGCAAGGAACAGGGATCTTTTTTTCAGTTCTTGATACTAGATCTCCCCCGCAAGTGAACAGGGAGCCTTATTTCAGTTCTTTATATTAAATCATAATTTTTATTTCATTTCTTCTGATACAAAGGTTTTATTTTCATCACAATATTATGTTTTAATGTAGAAGTAAGAACCATGGTCAATTTTGTAATGGTTTCTGTTTGATTATTCGGTAAAAATAATGCAATGTTCAATCCACCTAACGATTACGAAAGCGATTTATTTATTCTATTGAAATGTACAAGTTCTATACAAGCTACAACCTGACCCGCAAATAAACTAAACATTCGCTTACTTTCAAACTTTCTACTTTGTTAATTTTTTAAGCGCTGAACCAACTTATTAACTAAATAACTCACTCTAGTGTTTTTTTAAATATTTATTTTTCTAAATCTCGTGAAAATTCGAGACACCACGTCAAATCTAGACACCCAGGAAATTTCTAGTTATCACACATCATCGTTACGTCATGTCAGTACTCCCTTTAGCAAACTACACAAAACATCCAAGGTGAAATATCAAAAATATAGTTTACAACAAAATGGTGTAGCTATGGATTTCGGAGTTGACGAGCCAGGTTCGAATCCGTGCGACACCACAAAATATTCTCTAAATTTAAGCTGTAGGTGCGTTATACGAGTGACAGCCAATTCCTTAGCGTGAATGGTAGATGATAGATTGCTGACTGGCTGGCTGAAGTTAACTATTTCTGGAGTTAAAACATACAGACGTTTAAGAAATCGAGATAAAACCTGCTAGAATGTCAGATATTGACGGTGGAAATCAACAATTTTCACTTATATGGAATTACCGTGTATTCAACGCATTTCCTTGCGAAAACGACTTTACAAGGTAAGGAGTATGAAAGCTCACATTGAAGCACTAGGAGGTTGAGTCAGTGGGAGGTGCTGAGCGTATTATATGTGTGGATGAAGTTGACAATACACCAAGGTTTTCTTTGCTATGCATTTGAAATAACAAAAATGTCGGCCAACCCACTACGTAGGCGTAAGAACAGCAAACCAACACCAACCCTGTTTAGTTTATTGTTACAACGCCTATTACTTACGTCAAGAGAACTCCTCTGCCCACCTCAATCGAGACAATGGGACAAAGTTTTCAAAACGATAGAGAAATGTTGAGAAACCTTGTATAACGAATCAATTAGTTTTGCATGAATTTCTTTGTTTTTGCGCTTGTTCTTGTTGTTTGTCAACTAGATGGCGCTACGACTGCTTGGATCTCGTAGCATGTGGCATCACAATTTTGTGGCGCTATATACATAGATTATATCTTATGTTAACTGCGAAAACTAGATGGCGCCACAAAACTGGTTAGATCTTGCGTATACAGCTATAACTTTAAAAATCCCCATCACAAAGACTAAATAACACTGTAAGATTTACCGAATCTCTCATCTCCTTTTGGGAGACTAGTTGCCTCTATACAACTATATAACACTGTATGATATAGATTAAATCCTCCGGTTACTGTTACAACTACTAGATGACACTAAAAGATGCGTTAGATCATAAAGGTATACGCACCTGCTTAATCTGGTTCACACTGTAACAGGTGTTGTTTATGAACAATTATGATATACGTAGCCTAACTTATTTTCCTCTGCTTTCCCTCTTGAGTTTTTAGAATGATATCCATCGTCACGATTGTGTTTTTTATCTCAACCACCGCTGTGATGACTGATAAGACAGCGTTTTATTCATTAATATTTGATTTCTGATGAAGGGTTGAAGTTTTGGCTAAACGTGAATTAGTTCTTTTAAACCTAACTAATTAATTTAAGATAATAGAGTTAAAACATGATTGATATCCAATAATAAACGTTCAAAAGTTACCTAGTGTATTCTTTATATACCGCAAAAGTTGCAGTAAACAAGTAACGTTTAATATATTGACCTTTTTCCATTAGGCACATTTGCCTGTAAGTACAGTTGCTTGTGGATGGAACTGTTAATTACCCAGTTTGTTGGCCAAATGTTAATAATGAGTCTTGTAATAAAAAGCAAATACTCTATAATATTTGTGGGTTAAAAATAAAGTAAAATAACAACAGCTCTTTGAAATAGTTTCTTATATATATATATCAAAGGATTATTGCATGAAATTAAAAGAAGAGATCCACGAGGCAGCAGTGAAGCACGTGAAGAAAATTGTTGACACTGAGACGCACTTGCTGCAGAATGTGGATCAGATTATGAGCAATGAAGATGTTATCTGGAAAGAGTCGGTGAAAAATCTGGATAAAACAGTTCAACAGATTCGTGACTCTGTGAATAAAGATTTTAACGAAGCCAGCGATTCAGCAGAAAAGGTACGACTCCATTTGAATCCACGAAAAACATGATTGATTCTTTGTTTGTTTGTTTTAGCCTAAAGCTACAGAATAACCTGTCTGTCTTCTGTCCATCATGTGGAATCGAACTCCTGATTTTAACATTGTAATCCCATAAACTTACCGCTGACCTATTGGGGGATGAGACACTTATAACACTGGTCATTCTGAGAGTATTAAAGGTATTTTTGTACCTTTAAAACGCATATTTTAAAACAAACCACTTTCGCTTTCATTTAGGTCAGTTGATATTAGTTTTTCTTTACTATTAAATACTAAAAAAGATGCTTAATTTGTCTTTGTGTTTGTATAACAATTTGTATTCCGGAAATCATTCACATACTGGTGGATTGTTAGCTTTGGCCTCTTACCAAGTATACAAATTCTTCAGTCCAATAAGTTCATATAATAATAATAATATAGCGTTACTGTCAAGAAGCTGAGCTGGCCTAATGGGTAACGTGCTCCAATTGTGGGTCCAATGGTTCTAGGTTCACCTCCCGTTCCTCAAAGCCTTCCTATTCCCACTATTCGATAAGACAAGAATATCTCAAGGGCTGGCGTTGAGTACTGTTGACTAGCTGCATTTCTTACTGTTGACTAGCTACCATCCTTTAGTCTTGTCAATTCAAAATTATTGCCTTACACGAAAAATCTGTTTAAAAAACGTTGTCAATGATAAACAAAAGTATAAAATTTCAAGTGAAATTAATAGTTTTATAAATTTCCATTTCTTACTTTCTTACTACAACCTGATGATGACAAAACCTTGTCGAAACGTTGTGCATTTGCTGTTATGTTAAACTTATATTAAAGTTTTTCTTCATTACCCATTCAAGCCGTCTCCAGCCATTATTCCAGTAAATGGAATTCAATAATTCAAAAACTGTTCATGATTTTTTTGACATTCATTTTTTCAGAAAGAATATATTTTGAACTTTGAAAGAGGTGTGGTAACTTCCTTCAAGCTCTCCAGTGGCACAGCGGTATGTCTGAGGACTTACAACGCTAGAAACCGGGTTTCGATACCCGTGGTGGGCAGAGCACAGATAGTCCATTATGTAGCTTTGTGCTTAACTTCAAACAAACAAACTTACTTCTAGCCCCCTAGTGGCTCAACGGTAATTCAGTGTAATTAAAATGCTAAAACTGAGCTTCGATACCTGTGGTGGCCACAGAAAAGGTAGCTCATTGTGTTTAACTTCAAACAAAAATAATTACTTCAAATAATATCAGTTTCATAAACCTTTTCTCAAACTCTTGACATCACCAAGAAACGACATTTTTTTGTAGAGAAATGATGAGGTGAAGAATAACTAATAAAGAATTGTTTGTTTGTTTGGAATTAAGCACAAAGCTACACAATGGGCTATCTGTGCTCTGCCCACCACGGATATCGAAACTAATAAAGAAAGTTTTTCTTCATTACCCATTCAAGCCGTCTCCAGCCATTATTAATAAAGAAACTGAATACTATAACATTTTTTGTAAAGAAAGTTAATGATATAATATTTCCTGTGAAGAAAGTGAATACTATAACATTTCCTGTAAAGAAAGTGAATACTATAACATTTCCTGTAAAGAAAG